GTGCTTGAACCCTACAATGTCTCATCTCCAACTGCTAGTAGTGTAGATAAGGGTTATGAGTTGAGTGCTTGAACCCACAATGTCTCATCTCCAACTGAAGTAGTGTAGATTAAGGGTTATGAGTTGAGTGCTTGAACCCACAATGTCTCATCTCCAACTGCAGTAGTGTAGATTAAGGGTTATGAGTTGAGTGCTTGAACCCACAATGTCTCATCTCCAACTGCAGTAGTGTAGATTAAGGGTTATGAGTTGAGTGCTTGAACCCACAGTGTCTCATCTCCAACTGCAGTAGTGTAGATTAAGGGTTAGTGTAGATTAACTCCATAGATAAATTGTTCTGAAAAATTTCATTAAAAAATGCCTTTTGGAATTTTTAAATATGTTATTTTTTTATTATTGCTTTTAATGTTACACACTAAGATTTGTTAAATTAAATAATAACAGGACTTAAACATAACATTTGATAGACAGAAAGTGCTGGTCATGTTTTATTTAACTCAACATTGGAATTCAAGGCTTATATAATCTATTTAATAATGTTACAAAGAAACTTGTATAACTCCAACAGTACACAAGTTTTCTGTTGTAGATCTGCACTGGTATGGTTATGTAATACTGGCATTACTGTTTTGTACAAATAAACTAACTGATTTGATATTCAGTTCTTTAAATTTCAAGACTTGGTTGTTCTGTAATGCTTCAAATTTTATTTGTGATTGTATTCCTAAAGATAAGGTACAAGACAGTGTTATGTATAGTGCATGGTGTATTTACTTTCAACTGTTTGTTTTTAGGGCTTGACTATCGACACAAACGCTCTCTCATTAAACAACTATCTGCCTCAGCAGCAAACATTTGGTATGTATCCGCAGCAGCAACCTAATCAGAGTCCACACCATAATTATGGACAGAGTCAAGCACTTTCACAGGTAAAATTCTGGATAAAGTCCACCACTTTTATAGGAATATTCTATATAAAGTCCACTACTTTTATGTATAAAATTCTGTATAAAGTCCACTACTTTTATAGGAGTATTCTGTATAAAGTCCACTACTTTTATAGGAGTATTCTGTATAAAGTCCACTACTACTGTAGTAAAGATTCACGAGTAACCATATAAATAGACAGTTGTAAATCCTTTGTAATTAAGACATCTGAAATGTATGTAGGCAGTTTCCAAATGTTCTTCTGTTCAGTGTTTTTAGATAATGGGCAAATCTTCCAAGTATGAAATGTGGGCAATATCTTAGCAAATAGAAAAGAGAGGAGGTTCTTATTTTATATTCTAGCTTGTCAATATCTGTATTTTGAGTTTCTAATTCGTACAAACCTATAGCCTTAGTAAATCATTTTTATCTAATTAAATAATGCACCAAAGAACATAGAATAATAACATGCAAAAAGCAGACAACGTCCCATAACTACAACAATTTTTCTGGCTTCCTAACTATACAACAAGAGCCATTACAAATTCGTCCAAGCTAGTCGTTTCCATAGGAACGAACCTTGTACTGAAAGAGAAATAGACAATTCTCTCTACAGAAAACAATGTAATATAATATATCATTTGATAGATGAAAATCTTGGCTTTCTATTGGTTGTAAATGATATGGTATTAAATATGAGAGAACTATTAACAAATCCTAAAAAAGAAGATGTGACAGGTAGGTGTGGCAAGAGGGGTCTGATTTTCTACTTGATGGCTCTGTAACCAAACAAGATTGAAGGCTATGAAAATTATGTTTTGCCTGAGCGATGACAATATTATAATGAGTAATTTACATTAAATTTCATACTTATTGTAGGGGTGTTGATTAAATTACAGAAGAAGGGATGGCTCGAAAAAAAATAATTTCTTACACTAGGGAAAATTCAGGATTTTTTAAAATATTGCCTTATAAAATTAAGAAATTAAAACTAACATACTATTAAAATATGGATTATTAGCTACAGTTTTATGCTATACTAATTTGTATAACATGAATAAAAATGAGTTTAATCAAATTTTGAATATAGGTCACTAAAAACCTTGTGACGTGCAGTAAAGAGAGAGTTAACCAAACTGCATTAAAAAAACTTATTAAATAGTATCTACTTTTGGTTTAATAAAAAATGTGTATTTTCAGTTAGTTTTGGTTTAATAAAAATGTGTATTTTCAGTTAGTTTTGGGTTAATAAAAATTGTGTATTTTCAGTTAGTTTTGGTTTAATAAAAATTGTGTATTTTCAATTAGTTTTGGTTTAATAAAAATTGTGTATTTTCAATTAGTTTTGGTTTAATAAAAATTTTGTATTTTCAGTTAGTTTGATATTTTTTTATGCTGTGAAATTTCCAAACTTTTTGTGATAATTTTTTAAAAAAAACATTAAAATGTTACCTTTCATATTAGAATTAAAATTTTTTGGTTGTTGATCAGAAAGTTCCATTATATATATATATATTCAGTCAATGTAAACTTAACTGATTTTTCACTTCATATTTTTCTTTCACAATATCCAAATTTTCCTCAGGTTAAATCCCCCCTGAGTAACATTAGAATTATGGATGATGTCATACCTTCCCCAGAGAAAGACATCTAATCAACAATACAAGTATAGATGATGTTAAAAATTTTCTCAGATAATACAAGCAGTATATCACCCAGTGGGAGTGTAGACAGTTGAGAATAAATAAAGTTTCAAGTAACATCATCTGTCTGTACGTTTCTCAAATAGTGATCATGAAAATGTTTTTTAAATTTAAGTTTTCTGTAAAACATAAGTTTTTGATTTTTACAGTTTAGTTACTTTTGTTAAAAAGTGCTTACCTTAGTTCTACGCTGATTTGTACTTGAGTACCTGCTTTTGTAAGTCTTCTTTTTTTGTCACAAAAGATACATTAGGAACTCAAATACAATGTTCAAAAGCCATTATAATTTATCTGGCTTTCTAACTAAGTTATAAATAAGTTTAAAAAATTCCTTTACTAATCGGAGCACCAACTTCAATATACACACACATCAAAATCTACTTTTAAAATGGCTGCTTTCACTGGGAAAATAAAACAAAGTATCATTGAATCACATAATTCATAACATGACCTTTCTCGAAGTTATAAATGTACCATGGACAAGTAACAAGTGATTGTAAAGGCATGATATAAATGTACCATGGACAAGTAACAAGTGATTGTAAAGGCATGATATAAATGTACCATGAGCTTGTGTATGTAATTGATTAACACTCTGAAATACAGTAAGGAAAGAAAGAAAATCTGAGAAGGAGAATTCAGAGTAAAAATTTCATATGTGCACTTTGATCCCCACCCCAACCATATCCAAAGTATTGATATAATATGTATTAGGAACTTGTAGCTTTTACTTTCATGTTTACGTTTCTTACATGTTTCATAAAATGTATTTCATAACAGTCTCAATGTTCACAGATGCCAGTGGGACCATACCATAACAACAGCATAGCTGACCACTCGTCTAGTGTTCCTAATTCACCTGTGTCTCAGAGTTTTTCCCCCATCAATTCTCCGGGCCTTGGACCTAGCTCATCTTTGAATAAGAGTCCATTCACAGAAAATAATAACTATTTGTTTCACCACCACCACCAGCAGAACCACCATGCAAATATTCTACAGCATCAGTTGGAACAGTACGATGTTGTAGGTGAAAGTTTTGAACAACCTGACCAGTTTGTTATGGTAAGCCTGTAATTGAGTGTTGTCTTAAGGGAATGGGTGGACAGCTAAAAAAAGTAATGCATGTTTGAAGCATTATGGGAAGTATTTTGAAACTGTTCTTTGCAATTTTATGTAGGTTTTTCATTTTATTTGAGTCTGATGCATGGGCATCGGACACTGGAGAATGGAGGGCTTTGGAATAGTTGGCTTGTGGTCATTGTTTTAAATGTGCAACTCCATCGAAGGCTATTAACCATTTCGCGACGGGTACCCCTTTAAACACGTTTCTGTACAAGTCACTGCATTACATTCACAATTTAATTATACACCTTTATTATCAATTTATGTGAATGAAATTAATATTATAATGTATGTTATGATTATAAGTTTTATGTTATCTAAGTTTTAAGTCCTTTATTTCAAAATAAACCTTTAAAAAACAACTTAAAACTTCAGGTGTATTGTCATATGACTAACAAGCAATGAAAATTCTCTACTTTGGCTCTCTGTATCTTCAATAATACAATGGTAGTTGAGTAGAGGTATGTCTATACATTAAGATGCTTACATAACCTTTTGACTCCTTCATTTCAAAGTTATTTGAGTGAGTACAGGTGAAACAAGTAATCAGTTTTAGCAACCCCTGGTAGCTTCGATGCCCACCTTCAACATATTTATTTGAGCTTTATAGCCTACATATAGATGTTACATACACATGTGTATAGTCATTAGAAATAGGTCATTTTACACTATAATCTGAAAATGGTTATTTCTTAATTGGAACATAATGGAGTACATATAATTGATTGTATTGTTATAGTTGGCTGCTTGATCGACTATAGCATTTACGGTTGTTTTTTACCTAGATATGGTATAGTTAGAAATATGGTTTAAATTGTATTCAGATCTTACTATTATATTTTAGTTATGTTTTAATTAAAAGGTTTAAACATTTTAAAAATATACTTCATACTTTGTGTATTAGTTTACGGTACTATGTGGTGCACGAGAATATTGCTGAAGGGTTGCACATATCTCCCAAACACTCTGTAATGATGCCTTGAGGGCACCGTCGACTTGTGTTTATCTCTTTAAATTTTAGTATGGCTAACAAAGCACAGTATTAAAGATACTAAAAGATGCACGTAAGACTGGCATTTATTGTATAAAGGAAAATATTATTAAAATCAACTGTAAAGATGATGTGGTGCATGAGGATTTTGCTGAAGGGTTGCACATATCTCCCAAAGAAACTGTAATGATGCCTTGAGGGCACCGTCGACTTGTATCGAGATGAATATTAAGTGGTAAAGGACAAGGAAGGAAAGTAAAACATAAAATATTAACTATATGTGACCCGAAATTCTGAATATAAACAAAGGAATATCTTTAAAGATGTTCTACAAAAGATTAAAAGATGTGTACTTTTTTTTTATTTCCTAATTTTAATTATTTCATTGCATTGTACACTGATTATAATGGCTAGAGTTAGTGATATGGTAGAGAAAAAATAAATAAATATATAAACATTTACCTTTAGAAGGTTTTAGAAGTTATGCAAATGGAATAAGAAAAGTATTTTTATACTTAAAATGAAAATCACTTTGCACTCAAATTATTCACAGTTTGAGTAAATAAAGTTTTTATTAGAAAGATGTAATTAAAATAATGTACAAAATACTTGTAAACTTTAACAGAGTTACAGTATTTTTGTTGCACAAATGAATAAAAACCCTATAACCTGAGTGATTTCGAAAGGTGGACCTTTATTCTTCAGGGGCAAACTGAGAATGCTGGTGTGGGATATAATATATATAACTGTTGTTGTTCTTTATGAAACCTAAACCTTTTGTTTGGGTCAGTAGGTTAATGCTGTTATATTTTTATGTTTTTAGTGTAAGAGGTTACAAGTAAACTTGTTGAGGTGCATATACATTAATATTATTAGATAGGGCTAATTGTGTTTTGTTCTAAATACCCTGACCCTGAGAGAGCATGATTGTTCATGGTCTCATGTATGCATTCTAGTATTCATAGATTGGATTAATTCTGTTAATTTTATAAACTTTGGCCACCAGAGGGCACAGCTAATGCTCAACTGTGGGTAGGGTTAATCCTATTGTATTGTTTATTTTTTCTATTATGAGTGTTTTGAGAGCTTTAGAAGATGTATAATAAGAATGTAAATATGGATCTATTTATTAACACCAAATGGTATTTTCTACTATAGGTGTTTGCAAATCATAGATATGATGTTCCTATGTCATAAGTTGTTGTTAGTGTGTTATGGAATTTCCGGAGGAAATAAAGATTTTCCAATATATATTCAATTTTTAGTATTTATTTATTGTATAATCTGTAAAGTATAAATTGTTTTATTTAAATTTGTGCAGATTTTACACTTGTTCTTTGGATATTAAATAACCGAAAAACTGCTAATATTGACAGCTATCTATTTTTTATTTTCTTCTTTATTTAGCAGTTGCCAAACAGAAGTAATACAACATCCAATAAGGACGTATCATCACCTAATGTTTCCAATATATACCACACAAATTTTGATTCTGTAGATGGGTCAGGATCACAGGTAGCTGTGGATGTGGGTATGGGTGAAAGAAATCGGTTTCACTATGCTGACCTCCAAGGTGAAGGCCTGCCCAGACCCCAGGACAGTGTAGATACCAACATGATGTATTATGGGATATCTTCCACGGGATCGGATCCTCATCAGCATTCTCCAACATTGTACTCTAAATCTACGGTCATCTCCTCCGTTCATCAGTCTTCGCCCCAGACCCCTCAAACACCAACCATTATTCTCACAAGTAAGACTGTTAAAACCTCTGCTGTTCATCTTTCCTAAAACACGACTGTTTAGAAATAATTTTTGGATATTTTCTATTAGTAATTAAAAAAACTAATATTTCTAATGTTAGTAGTAAAGAAAATGGAGTTCATCTTATTCAGTACGCAGATTTTTTTTTTTTTATCAACGTGGTCCTCAATGAAACAACTTTCTACATTTTTAGGACATTTTTTTGCACGTTTTTTGCATTGTATTTTGTTATTAATCTTTTCGTATTCAAATATATAAGATAAGGGAAATCTGTCCTTTTGATAAGTGCTTAACTATCACTCTGAAAATGTGGATAAACAGGATAACTTTAACTGGCTAAGACAAAGAAAGTGATAGTTAAGCACTTATCAAAAGGGCTGGTTCCAAATGGAGGTTTTTTATTGAAAGATTCGTATTATCTAAGTCAATAGGTTGATAGCAAAGTGATTATTAACTCTTACAACACGGGCTAGGTCAGCTTGACCAACCACGTGACCTCTTTGTACTCGTTTAAAGTCTTTATAGTTTTGATACTACTATCTTTTAATAGAGCATGTATATCTTCACAAAATTTGGCACACTTTCAGTAAACATTTTAAGCCTTTCACATACAAAAAATAATATTTTTTAGTGAAGTACTTTTAATAAACTGAAAATAGATTTGTCCGTGAATATATCAAGTATTTTTTTACTTGTCCGTGTGCAAAGTGATTTTCATGTTAAGATTAAAAATATTTTCCTCATCTTAAAAATCTCAATTTTCAATTGCATAATCTTTAAAACTTCCTACATACATTTCAAATGTTTGTTTTCAGTAAAACTTTATATTTTACTTGTTATTGTCTCTACCCTAACTGTATACAAGGTCGGTCAATCTGACCGGCCTCATAACCACAAAAAAGAAAAAAACAAAAAAAAAACAGTAAATCTAAATTACCATTTTTTTTTCTTTCTAGAATGACTTCAACTTGTAACATGAAACTACATGTGTTTATCCGAAGTAGTTTTAAACTTGTAAGAGTATACAAATATTTATATTTTATCCCTTTTGAACCATGTTTAACTACTATTCACGCCATTATAGGTTGTAAATCAATTGGAGAACATGGAGCTCACATTACGCTATCGAATTACGTTACCCACAAGCTGCTCGCATGCATGCCTTGTGAAACATTTTTATAATATTATAATTTATATTACCTAATCTAACCTTAACTAACCTAAAGAGATTCCTATTTTTACATTTTAGTTATTTTATAGTAATAAATAAAGAATAAACATGAAAAACAAGAAATAAAGTAATTAACCATGTATTTGTTTTTGCTGTTGACTGTCGATAACGCTTAACCCAACTTTTTTTTTTATACTAATGGTTGTAATGAACTGAATAATTTTTATTTAATTAAATAATGCACCAAAAAACATGGACTAATAACATGTAAAAAGCAGACAATTTCCCCTAACTCTCACAATTTTTCTAGCTTTCTAATTAAGCGACAAATACTATTACAAATTCATCCAAGCTAGTCGTTATCTTTTCTGTGGGAATGAAGCTTATACTATTCTGCTTATGAAGCTTATACTTATACTTATTCTGGCTTTCTAATTAAGCGACAAGAGCCGTTACAAATTCATCCAAGCTATTCGTTATCTTTTTTGTGGGAATGAAGCTTATACTAACTGAGAAATTTACAATTCTCTCATTTGAATAGATCAAAACCTTGACTTTTTATTGGTTATGCATAATATAGTATTAAGCGTAAGAGAGAACTACTAACAAATCCTGAAAGAGGATATGTGACGGGTGGGTATGGCAAGAGGGGTCTGATTTCCTATTTGATGGCTCAGTAACCAAACAAGATTGAAGGGTATAAAAATTATGGTTTTTCTGAGCAATGATGATTTTATGTCACACTTCTAACATTAGGGGAAATTCAGGATTTTTACAAATATTGCCTTATAAAATTAAGAACTTAAAGCTTATATACCATTAAAATATGGATTATTAGCTATGATTTTATACAATACTAATTGGTATAACATAAACAAAAAGTAGTTTAATTAAAGTTTGAATGAAAGTCTCTAAAACCTTGTGACGTGCAGTAAAGTATGGCTGAGGCGAGAGGGTTAAAAGGACTAGTTTTTTAGATAATAGTTAATGTTATTTTACATTTCATCCAAGTCAACTGTACTTAATTGTTACTAAAAAGACTGTTTGTTTGTTTTTTGCAATAGCCAATTAAAATATTCCAAATTATAGTTTTCGGATGGTCAACAGGGTCATAGTAAAGCAGATATTAAAAGAATTGTTTTTTCTTGTTGGAATAACCTGTAAGTTGAGGGTTGAGTTTCTAATTAAATGAGTAATGTCAAGTATATTTATTGTAGGTATCATTGTTGTCGCTATAAAAGTGGTTAAGGCTTAGAAAAGATCTTGTGATGGTATTTTTTACAGAATTCAGGCTTCATTAGTCCTCTTTTTCTAGGACATATCTGCTTTTAATTTGGATTGTTTTACCTTTCCTCAGCCCCTGGAGGAGAGGAGCCCCTGATGAGGCAGGACTTTGCCAAAGACATTGGTTCTGCTATGGCCAGCATGACTGGCTCCTTTGACACAGACTTTTTCACTCCCGATGATGCATTACGTGCTGGTCTGGATCCCATTGACTTTGATGGATTGCAGATCCTTACAGATCCCGATATTTCTGTAATAAGTGATCCAGCTACTGAGGAGACTTTTAGGCTTGAGCACTCGTAGCAGTTTCTGCCATCCATGTGAAGGTTTGTAACCATGCCCCTTGACACAGTCAAGCCTAACAGATGTGTGGGGCTTTAACAGCTTAATCAATCAGTCCTTTTTTACCCTCTTCAGGAATGTAAACATAACTGTACTTCACTTTACCTTGTGAGTCGAAAAGTAGGGAGTGTTTGCCATTGGCCATTTTGCCACATTTCCATTTGAACTATTTATTTGTTTTTGTATAAAATGGAATGGATTATTTTTAAAAATAAGAAAATGTTTGTTCTTGTGAAAAGAATTCATTGTTTGAAGAGCCTAGTAACAGTTTGTAAGTCCTTCTGAATTTAGTGCTTGTATTTTTAAAAGCTTTGTTTTTAAGACAAGTTATCATGCCTTAAGTGCGTGACTGATACTTTTAGTGTACATAGCTGTAAATTGTCATTTTTTTAGTGTTTATCTCTTTAAATTTTAGTATGGCTAACAAAGCACAGTATTAAAGATACTAAAAGATGCACATAAGACTGGCATTTATTGTATAAAGGAAAATATTATTAAAATCAACTGTAAAGATGATGTAAGATCTGTTTAAATTCACTTCTATTTTTTTTTTTGAGAGGTAAATCTCAGTCGTTTTCAGCATGCATTTTTCTTGGAATTTTGTGTTGTGTTAAATCTTTAAAAATAGTGTTGTCAGTACGTGACTTTTAGCGTAATTGTTCTGATAATAATTGAATATTTTTTTCCTCTGGTTATTTTTAGAATCAGCTTGCTTGTTTTCAATCTATCTGTCAAGGATAGCCTAAAGTTACTTTGAAAGAGCTGAATGGAGCGAAATAAGCATTTTTTGATGTGCTAATATGTATGATGGAAATAGGATTTTTCCTACATGTGGGTGGTTAGTAGGTTTGGTTTCATTCTGTCTCAGTCAGTGAGTAAAAGAGGATGGCTCGATTTGACATAACCATTTTTTTTAGGGTGGGGGATCTCTTATTATTCATAAGTAACTTTTTTTTCTTCAATATTTGAAATTGAGTCTAATCATATCACTCGGCTCTTACCACTGGTCAACATATAAAGTTATATTTCAAGGCTTTTAGTTGAGAAGTTTTTACAAATATATATTTTGCATGTGATCTGTGAAGCCACTTGATTCCCTGTGATCTGATCGTTAATTTGTATAGCTGTGTACTTAATACATGGCTACTTGTAACAATTGATTCATGTTTGGGACTTAAGAGTAGTGCACAGTTTTTGTTTTGTAGTCTTATCAAAATTTAGCAAAAGCAATTAATTGCATCAAAAGCCAAATGCAGCAATGTTTGAATGTTAATTTAAAAAAATAAGAATTGTAGTTGCCTTTCAATTCAGGGGAACTTTCTAGAAGATGATTTTTTTTAAACTGCAAGTTGTAAAATGTTCTAGTAAGATAATTAATTAAATTTTTAATAATAAAATATTTTGTGTAAAATACACTTAAATTATGACTGGGTACCAAATTATGTTTTTGAGCACACGTAGGAAGGAAGTTAAGTAATGCCCGTTGATTGTATATTTCTTATAGTCTAATTGACTTTGTCTTGGGAATATTTTTTGGGGGTTTCTTCAGAATACCTCAAAAATAACTATTTGCTGTTTTATATTCAATCTTTAAATAAAACCTCTTAAAATATTATATTAACTCCTTTTATATCTTTTTAACTCTTGATATGCTGAGTAAAATCTTGACCAGTTAAAATATTTTTTGAAAGTATGTCAAATTTACAAATTCAATTGTCATTTGTCAATGTACAGTCTTGTGATATATTCACTTCATTTTCTATTGGATAAAGTGTAATATTTTGCTTTCTTATCGGTAGATAGTAAAGAAAAAAAAAAGTTAAATGTATCATATTCAATTTTCTCTCTATATTTTTTCTCTCATCTAATCTTTGCCTTAAATGTTAAGGTACAATCTCCACATTGCTATCGAACCACACATGATATGTTTGACGTAAATATTAGTCACTCTTAAAGCCAAAATAATCTTCATCCATATTCTACTGATTTCCAACATAGCCTAATATACCAGTTGAATCACAAGCTCAAGGAACTGTGTTTTATTAATGAAAATGTATAGAGACTGTTTAGCTTCGTAAGCTCTGTATGTGTAGATAATTTTGCATTAATGGATTTTTCAAATTCATGTTTTTAGTATGTACATTATGAACTATAACAACGCTGTGTGTTATGACCCAATATAAATATTTATCTAATGTGATTTAAACTTTCATGAAGTTTTTTTTAGTTATCCTAAACATCTTTCTTTCTTTCTACAAAAGGAAAAGAGCTTTTTAAATCCTGTGTATTAACTTTAACTTTTTTTTATTTACAATGAAATTTTCTTCATCTTAAAGCTAAAAGATAAATATTTAAAAATTAAATAACATATCATTGAAAATAACACTTAATAAATCCTTTTCTCCAGTGATCTGTTTTAAACTTTCTGTTAATAACACGAGGCTAGCGGCTTCCCTCTTTCTTCAGTTGTTCCAAATGCTATTTAGAGTATTGATAAAGTTTAATATACTGCTGTGATCTGAGGAGCAGTAAGGTGTCTATGGTGGAAATATTGAAAGGCCTGGAAAAGTGTTATTATGAGTGAACTGGGTTTGACCTAGGGATTAGTGTGCCAAGACTGTGAATCTGAGGGTTCATGTTTCTCATCTATCTCCACAAAAATGTGCTCTACACTTTGGGACCATTGGTGTGCTATAAAAGTCCATTACTCGACGAGATGAACATCCCAAGAGTTTGCAGTGAGTACCATTGACTAGCTACCTTCCCCGTTGTCTATCAGGTGAACGTTAGGAAGGGCTAAGTGTAAATAGCCCCTTGTGTAGATCCCGAAACAAACATAAACTTATGCAAGATAGGCTATGATCTTCACAGTTAGATATCTTTCATTAACTATGTGTGTGTTCTCTTGTCTTTTCTGTAATATCCTCTCCAAACCACCAAAATAATATGTAATTTACTGAAACTGACACATACTAAGTGTGTTTTTTGTGGACATGGGAATAATTATTGTTTTTATTTGTTACAGATATATACTAGGGAAGTAATAGATCATATTTTGCCAACTTAGGCATTATACGTCTGGGATTTAATGAAAATCTTTTTGCTATGACTTAAAGAGTAATAGGAACATATACTCACACAACAAAAGATTGAATAAGGTGTTTGTAGCCCATCGTTATAATTGCAGGAATACTATATAAGGTGAACTTTCCATTGGAAGTGATTTTTTTTCCAAATGTCTAAAAGTTTTATTTCTTTATTAAACCAAAATAAAAAAAAAATACATTTTCTTTCTGCACTCATACGAGTTGTTTTTTTTTTCTAAAATGTTTATTTTATTGTAACTAATTTGCCCGGCCAAGCTGCACATGTCAGTTATTGAAAGTTTCACACGTGTTTTTTTACGTGCTGTATCCATATTCCATATTAACTTTCCACACTTGTTAAGCTTGTGTTGTTCTTTAGAAAGAGCATAAAAGTTTTAATTTCTTTTATCTTCTTTATTCACATATAACTGTTTGAAATGAAACATTGGTTCTAACCTTAACATGTTTATTATAATATGTTGTCTCTTGGTTAAGTATCCAAAGTAGAAATGATAATTGAAAGATCATTACTGGCTTGGTTTTGAGGCTTTCCTTAGATTTATATGAAAGTTTTCCAGATTGAATAACCTTTCTTTTGATATTTAGGAAAATTTTTAATAATGCACCAGAGGTGAACTTCAGAAATTGTGAAAACAGATTATAGAATTGGATTCAATTTCAGCCTCTTCCTGGGTCTGTAGAAACGCAGCCAGTTTTAACCTAATGTGACAGTGTTCATAAAAAAAATGTAAGTTGAAAAATATGAGAGCCTGATGTGAAATTAGGACTATTTTAAGTTATTTTATTTTAAATGTTTTGATTGGTTCAAGTGTGTTAAAACTTGTGAAATCTGTATTACTTAATTCTTAAGTTCAAAAATACATGTTACACAAATATGTGGGTTCTACAGTATTGAACATAATCTACAACTAATATTTATAAGTAGTTCACGGGTGTTTCTTGATTTTTGTTTCATTTCTTTACATGAAAGTATAAAGCCCTTTAACCTGTCGAAATATTTAAAAGTTTAACCCTTCTTCTTCTTTACCAGGTCAGATGTTTTGGGTTCTGTCAGCTTGGGTGTTCCATCATTAGTTGGTTGAAGTTGGATTATCTCTGCTCACATTTTACCATTCATAGTTAAATACTATAGATACTATATGCTTAGATGTTACCACTTATCAGCTGAATAGTTAGTTCTGTCAAGTCAGATTTTGTCTTACCACAGCTGAACAGTTAAGTTCTGTCAAGTCAGATTTTGTCTTACC